TAATTTTATTAATTTGGGTCCTTTCTCTTTTCTCTTGGATAAGTCTGGCCAGTGGTTTATCGATCTTATTAATTCTTTCAAAGAACCAACTTGTAGTTTTGTTGATCTGATCTACTGTGTTTCTGGTTTCTAATTCATTGATTTCTGCTCTAATTTTAATTATTTCTCTTCTAATGCATGGCTTAGGCATCGTTTGTTGCTTTTTCTCTAGTTCTTTAAGATGTAGGGTTAGTTGGTGAATTTGGGATTTTTCTGTTTTTTTGAGTGAGGTTTGGATGGCTATGTATTTCCCCCTTAGGACCTCCTTTGCAGTATCCCATAGGTTTTGGACCGATGTGTTTCCGTTCTCATTGATTTCCATGGATTGTTTAAGTTCTTCTTTGATTTCCTGGTTGACCCAAACATTCTTGAGCAGAGTGGTGTTTAGCTTCCAAGTAAATAATGTCTTTTTTTAATTAACTAGCATGCTATGAGTTTAATTCAGGGGTATTTTGATTCCTTTTTTTTTTTTTAAGATTTATTTATTTGAGAGAGAGAGTGTGTGTGCACGGAGAGGGGCAGAGGGAGGGAGAGAAACTTCAGTCAGGCTGCTCGCTGAGCTTGGAGCTCACCTTGAGGTTCAGTCCCAGGGCCCTGAGATCATGACCTGAGCCAGAATTAAGAGCCAGCCGCCTAACCAACTGAGCCACTCAGGCGCTCCTCATTCTGTCTTTTTAATAATTTCTCCTGTATCTGTTTTCAGTCTCAGGGCTACCAGTCTAATCCCAGATAAAGAACACCGTGATGAATATAATCTCTCAATTTTTGTCTGTGACCCATGTGCTGGTTTTTGCTAACAAACTCACTGAGGAAAGGTACTAGGTGTGGGTATATCTGAAATTGGCAATAGAGTGACCATTGTAAAAACATTGATCCTTTGATAATAGACAATGGGTACTGAGAATATTCGAAACTTTCCACTCCATTCCCTTCCCTGCTACGATTATGTGTGTAATGTATTTCTTCGCATTCCCTGAAGGAGGTCCCCACAGTTGAATTATAGAAAGGTATTTGTCAGTTCTGATTTCGTACATGTCTTGTTACATAACCAGTTAAGCAGGTGTGATGAATATCAAGGAAGGGAAGAAGTCTTCCTCTTTAACCCTCTTACCATGCCAGATGTCTTAAGCCATGATCATGGAAGCTCATACCCCTAGTTAGAAACATGAATAATGCCCGAGTTCTGCCCTGTGTTTAGAAGAGAGAGTGTGCTTATTCAGGCCCTGTCAGAAGATCACCAGAAGCATGTTTCCTTCTTATGATATTAATAACTTCCTTGTGGAAAAGAAAGCTTATGTCCACAAACAAAGGATAATCCATAGTCAGGGGCCCTACTGGCAAGTATAGAGTGGCCATGGGCCTTTTTCTGTCTGGTTGGGAGTGTGGCTTGGGTCAGCTTGACTGGGAAGTGACAGGAGCCCAGTTGTTAATCTGATATCTGTGCCCTTTCATCTAAATATTTTGCCCTTCTCTTTGATTGCTGTGAGGTCTCTGTGTTCCCTCTGCCAGGTTGTGGGCAGAATCCTGTTCGACAAGCCAGTGTGGGTGCAGGAATCCCTTACTCGGTTCCAGCATGGAGCTGCCAAATGGTCTGTGGATCAGGCCTAAAAGCCGTGTGCCTTGCAGCCCAGTCAGTAGGGATAGGAGACTCCAGCATTGTGGTTGCAGGAGGCATGGAAAGTATGAGCAAGGTAAGCCTCTGGAGAGATGGCTGTCACTCACCTCTCACTAATAAGCTCATGTCCGTCCCATAGCGGAGTAAACTGACCCATAGCAGAGCTGAAACCAAACAGTAAGCCCTGAAAAAACTGATTCAACTTTGAATCCCTATCTGGATGGTTTTATTTTTATTTTTTAAAAGATTTTATTTACTTACTTGAGAGAGAGTGAGCGCATGAGCTGGGGGGCAGGAGGGGAGGGGCAAAAGAAGAGAGGAGAAGCAGGCCCCCCGCGGAACAGGGGGCTTGACACGGGGCTGGACCCCCGGACCCCGGGATCGTGACCTGAACCCGAGGCAGACCTTGACCGACCGAGCCCCCCAGACGCCCCTCTACCTGGTTGTTAATTAGTCTTCCACGTTGCACGGGAGATCCAGGTTGTAGAAAAAGCGCATCAGCCAGTGTGACTGGAACAGAATACACTTTTTTCCAAAACGTTACCAAAGCATAAAATATTTTCTGAATTAGACCCATAACATTAGTCAGTTGGTATCCCTATCTCAAATTTTCTCATTATGGGGAAAAGTCAAAAGCAGATGTTTTGACTTACTGACCTGCACTTGACAAGGAGGACCCCAGGGACCCAATTTAGTTGACCTTTGGGAAGCATAGAATGTGGAAAAGAGGACCAGGTGGGATTTGTTTCACCAAGGTCCAGCCCTCAAATTGGCATGGCAGTGAAAAGGAACAAGTATACCGCCGGCTTCCTACAGGTAGTTCAGGGTCTGACCTGGGGATCCGCTAGACGGAGGCCGATTCGGCTCAGCAGTTGCTGAGGCCCAGGAGGCGGTAAGTGGAAGGTACCAAACGGCATCAGAGTGACTGATGGGAGTGCACCAGTGTCTCTGTGGTACTTCACAGGTGCTTTTATACGTAACCGCCACAGCAGCCCGTAGAGGGTAGGTGGTATCGTTCCCAGTTTACAGATCAGGAAACTGAGGCCCAGAGCCAGAATTCAAATACAGATCTTCTGACTCCCAAATGTTTCCATCCTATTATAGCTGCTGTTGAATTGGTAGGAGTTAAGAAGATCCCCACCCAGAAATCCCTTCCCATTAGTTAATTAGGCAACCTGATTATTCTCATTTTAGGCATTATGTCTTTTATCAAAATAAGTGACACACTGTTAGCATCTTTTATGCTTTTAGATGAGCTCCTCATTTAACAGATAACTTGTTGCCTCTTTGGAAAGAATAAATGAGGTCCTTAAGGAAATAGGACACAGAAGGGAGAGATTTGGTGGTAAATGGAAATAGGTAGGTAGGAGAGTAACAGCTTCTCGGGAGTAGGCAGGATAGAGTAGCCTTCCGATTCCAAGGGTCTTCAGGTCCCAGACCCTGGGTGGGGAAGAGGGTGGGCCAGAACTGTGGAGAAGGGTCACAGAGGGCGGTCTAGGTGAAGACTGAGGAACCACTGGATAGTTGAGTGGGACCCTATGAGGAGGACTAGTCACACCATCCTAAATCCATTTGTACTTCTTGTTTCCAGGCTCCTCACCTGATTCATCTGAGGGCAGGAGTCAAGATTGGGGAAATGCCACTGGCCGACAGCATACTCTGTGACGGGCTTACTGACGCATTCCAGAATTATCACATGGGCATTACAGGTAAGGCAGACACAGCCGAAAACAGACCAAGTGCAGAAAGGTTTACAAAAGATCCTATAATCTTCAGCTTTGCAGGTGCTTTCCTCTTGAAGGGCAGGGACCATGTCCTGATCCTTCTGCACCACGGATGGCAGGGCTCCTTCCACTTTGCTGAGCCCAACTGAGGAAATAGCCTATGTGTGTGTCACCCCCCTCCCCCCCTGCCCCTGCTGTGACTCCTTGACCTTTGCAGTTTAGGGGTGGGTGGGGCTTCTGAGCTCTGAGCAGTCTCCCATTTTACTATGGGAAGAGACCAGGGCCCACGAACCGCGGTTGTGTGGCCAAGGCAGTTATCAGAGATGACTGGGTACTTCTGGTGCCTCACGCTGCCTTCTTTGTGCTGTGCAACCCGGCCTTCCTTAGTCGCCTGCGGTTCAGGTGAACCAGCAGAGCAGCCAGAAAATCCAACGACCTCCTGTCTTTCCCGCTTTTAGAACATAAAACTCAAGAACAGAAGGGACATTTCATTGTAGTTGAAGAAACAAGCCCTGAGAGGTTACACACCCTTAAATGCATGTGGCAGTGGCTCTGGGTCTAGGAGAAGTAGAAATCAGACGGAAGTCAGATGAGAAAGTGGGGGAAAGAGCAAGAGTCTAAGCAGAGGGGACAGTGTGTGTCAAGGCAGAGGAGTAGTGAGGAGCTAAGGCGTCTTGGCCCCCGTGAGCTAGAGCGGCAGCAGGGACGGCTAGAGAGTGTGGCCACACCCCGGCAGCCTCTGTGTGCACCGGGCCGGGGTCTTCCTGGTCGTCGAGACTGGGCCAGGGGTTCTCAAAGTGTGATACGACAGCCTACTGTCTCAACGTCACCAGAGGCTGTCCCTGAAAATCCAGCTCCCAAGCCCTTTCTGAGGTGTTTCGGGCTGAATTACGACCTTCCAGAAGTCCTATGTTGAAGCCCAAACTGCAGGACCTCAGAACGTGACTGTGTTTGGAGTCAGGGCCTTTTAAGGAGTAATTAAGTTAAAACGAGGCCTTTACCGTGGCCCCGAATGCCGTCTTAAGTGGCAGCCTTGTAAGAAGAGGACGAAATACGAGAGATATGAGCGCGGGAGAAAGACCGTGTGCGGACTCAGCGAGAAGGCGGCTGGGAGCGAGGCCTCAGGATAAAACAGACCTGCTCACACCTTGATCGGGGCTGAGAAAATAAATTTCTGTTGCTTTAAAAAAAAAAAAAAACACTCAGGCCAGGATGTAGTAATTAGTAAAGACTAGACTCCCTAATATAGACAGATATAAAACTGGTCAAAATATATCAAGCTACTGTTTTCAAATATCAACCAACAATCATATAAGACTGAGATTCTTTTTTTTTTACACGCTGCTGGGGCCCTTATTTGTGAGGACCTTCCAGAACCCTCCATATTCCCACTCGAGGCTCAGCCCCCAGTACCCCACAGCTCGGCCTCCTGCAGGCTTCTGGCAGGGGGTGTCTGGAACAATCCAAATTAGCAGCCGCCCCCCACTCCCCTTCTCTCTGGTTCCGGACAAAGGCTGTCACTCCAGGGAAGGTCCTGCATGATCTCCACAGTGGTGTAGGCATCTCCAGTGGGCGTGGCCTCCGGAGCAGGTTGTGGGCGATGGTTGCCAGGAACTGCCATTTCACTGGCTGCTCCCCGTCTCTTGCTGGCACCTCCTCTGCTCCTGGAGGGCTTGTTCTAACAAGGGTAGATGCATTCCTTTCACACAAGTCAGTACCCAGGCCTTCCCCATGGAGCCTCCGTCTGATGCCTATCAGCTCTTTCCTCCTGTCAGCCTCGGGAAACCCTTCCTCCTAGATTTGTATGGAGGAACATGTTGTTCTTCCATTTCTGGTATTCGAGCTCCCCAAGGACAAGGTACTGGGAGGCTAACTGGGCTTGGAACAGCTCCACCAACTTGGAGCAGACCAGGATCCTGTGCTGTCGGATCCGTGCGGAGCCCCCAGGGTCATTCGGGATTGAGTCATGTCACAGAGCCACAGCCCGCCGAATGTTCTCAGTGTGCCCACGTCCGGAACTTGGCCCAGGGGAGGTAATAGATCCCAGGTTTGGGGAGCGTCCGAAATAGTTGAGAGGGCTGTTTGCAGATTCCTGTCAGGGCACTGGGGCCTCGGCTTCCCTCTTTCTGCCTCACAGAATCCCATGATCAGGGAGGGGCGGGTTAGCAGAGCACCTAGCTTTCCCCCACCCAGAGCAATTTTGTTGCCCTTCTTCTGGGGTCCCCTCCCCAGGGGCTGCTCTAGGGCTCCCCTGGACGAGAGTGGGGGACTCGCCCACACCAGCCCCACCTCTACCTCAAATGCAGTCAGTTGCAAGACTGAGGTTCTTTTTTTTTTTTTTTTTTTAAAGTAGGCTCCACACCCAGCGTGGAGCCCAGCGTGGGGCTTAAACTCATGACTCTGACATCAAGACCTGAGCTGAGATCAAGAGTTGGATGCTTGACCGACTATGCTACCCAGGCGCCCCGAGATTCTTGAAAGAAGGGAAAACTTCACTGTCACTGACTTTTTACCTGGGGGGATGGTGGCCATTGAACTGGGGAGGCCAAGGTCAGAGTTTGGAGCTGCTGAGACTCCTGGAGTTTGAGGGGCAGAGTACTGGAGAGAAGGAAGCTAGGAAAGGAGCTCCAGAAATCTCCGTAAGGGTTCCCTCAACTCTTGGGTCAAATACTCAGCTATGCATGTGTAGGACAACACCCTACCAGGTCCAGTAGAAACAGCTTCTAGGGAGTTGTGAATTGATTACTTGGAGACATAGGAGTTCTGACCCTGCAGAGTAGAAACTTTACTGAACCCACTGGACACTCCATTGACATCTCAGAAAGACCACAGTTTAGGGGCAGGGTCCCTCTAGCCCCAGAGTAAGGACTACTCTAGACCCAAACTAATAAGCTTAAAAAAATAAGCTTCAAAAGGATCCAGATGATCTGCCAGTATGTTAATGGGAATGAAACTCAGTATACTTGCTAAAGATAACAAAGTCCGGATGTTCAACAGTATAGCAACTGTAATGTCCAGCATGCAATAAGAAAATCAGGAATGTGAAAAGTAGTGGGTGAAATTGGATGAGGAAGAAGGCATTTCTTCATAATGTCAAAATAACTTCCCATAACTTCCTAATTAATTATAAATGGAGGAACACCTGGGTGGCTCAGTCAGTTAAGTGTCTGCCTTCAGCTCAGGTCATGAGGGTCCTGGGATCGAGCCCCACGTCTGGCTCCCTGCTCAGCGGGGAGTCTGCTTCTCCCTTTCCCTCTGCCCCTTGCCCTGTTTGTGCTTTCTCTCTCGGTTGCTCTCTCAAATAAATAAAAATTAAAAAATAATTATAAATGGAAAAATAGTAACTTTACAGTGTAGAGACACTTTAACCAAGTGATCAAAGCTCACGCCACCCGAGATCAATAATATCACAAGTATCCTGATTAAGATTCACTGAGAAGGTCATGTCAGTGGGATACCTGCTTTTCTGCAAAATCTTAATCTAATCTTGAGGAAATCTGAAACCTAAATTGGAGACATGTGATAAAAGAACTGGCCCCTGCTCCTCAAAAATATCAAGATGAAGAAACACAAAGATAGTGTGAAGAACTGTTCCAGTAAAAAGACACTAAAGAGATTGACAGTGAAGTGCAGGGCATGATCCTAGACTGAACATACAAACTAGCCACAAAGGACATCCCTGGGACACAAGGTGAAACTGGAATATGGACCAAGAATTAGATAATAGGCCTGTGTCAGTGTTAAATTTCCTGATTTTGAGAGCTGTGCTTATGTAAGAAAATGGCCGTGTGGGGGAAATACACAACGACATTAAAATTTAGGGATAAAGAGGCATGATTATAACTTTTTCTCAGATGGTTGAGAGAGAATGATGAAGTAAATGGGGCAAAAATATAAACAGTTGGTGAATCTGCATGAAGGACGTTTCTGAAAGTTGACAGTTACATAGAAAGGAAAAGAGAAGGAAGGAAGCAAAGAAAAAAATGACTTCTTAAGAGTCACTGCGGCCTCCCCGAAGTCACTGGCCGTGGGAGGCCGGACGGCTGCAGAGCACTGTCCCAGCCCGGCAGCGGGCCTGCTCGTGTGCGGCGGGGGCTGCAGTGCTCGGTTTCAGGTGAAAAACTTGAGCTACTAAAAGCCAGTTCCTGAAAATGTTTGTCTTTCGCTTCATTATTATTATTTTCTTTCACAGCTGAAAATGTAGCCAAAAAATGGCAAGTGAGCAGAGAAGATCAGGACAAGTTTGCCGTTCTGTCCCAGAACAGGACAGAAAGTGCACAGAAAGCTGGCTATTTTGACAAAGAGATTATACCAGTTTTTGTATCTTCTAGAAAAGGTGAGTATATAGATTGTAATGGTTTGAACATTGGCGTGCCTGTTTATGCGTAAGAAAAAATAATACACAAGAAATAATACACAGGAATGTCTATACATCGTGTCTTAGTTACGTCTTTCCGGCTGCAAAGAAAAGATTGATCTTGGATACGCCTGAAAATGGCAGGGTGGGGGTCTTGTTTATGGGGTGCTGGAGGGTGAAGAACATGGGACACTGGGTCAGCACTGAGCACTCCTGGTCCCAGAGTGTCCACACCGTTCTGTAGATGGAGCAGGTTTTGTGTGAGAAACTGGAGCATTGGCTCCAGTTTGGCTCCGGTTGTTAGGAGGCAACAGTGACGTTTTGCCCCTCCAGGTGCAATCTCCTCAGAGGTGAACATCCATTACTTCCTGTATGTATCTGCATACATTTCATATTTCATGAGGTTGCGTGTTTTGGGGTCCTTTGCTGTTACGGAATATGGAATGCTCCGGTCAAAGAGCTGTTACTGAAAACTGTCCTGTTGCCCATAAGTGCCATTGCTTACATCCAGCCCTTAGGAGATTGCCTTTTGACGTTCCCTGATCATGTCGTTTTGTAACCAGCAAGTCCTACGCTCCACACCTTATCCACCTTTTGCACAAAGAACTGCCTTCCTCAGAAAGGGCTGTGGTTGTGGAAGACACTTGGAAGTATCTCATGAGGACAGTGCTTATGAAATGTTTGAACATGCAACTTTTTTATGTGTGCTTTCCCGTTGGAATGAAAGTGTTTTTTAATAAACCTTCTTTCCATATCTGAAGCCTCACGCATCATGTCTGAGGACTCCACCATTCCTAATACACTCACTGCCGTCTCTGTACTAATTTTGGTTAATTCATCTTCCTTTGCTCAGGTCTTACTGAAGTGAAAGCAGATGAATTTCCTCGCCATGGGACCAACATAGAAGCTGTATCCAAGTTAAAGCCTTACTTTCTTACAGATGGAACAGGGACGGTCACCCCAGCGAACGCTTCAGGTTAGATTTCCCAAATGGCATGTGGGGGAATACCATCTTCTGCTAGGTCTACCAAATTAATGCCTTTTTCATTTATTATTTATGTACGAATTATGCTAAGACCTTTAGTTGCTTGAAGGGAAGAGGTAGTTTCTCATATTTGATCATTACTTATCATCGCCCTACTTTCAACTTAACCTATACATTAAAGAATGGATTTGACTTCCTGACATCCTAACTAGACATACGAATGAAAAAGCAAACTAGGGAACCACAAAGTTTAATCTCCTACCCTGATGCTTTTCCAAAACCAGAAACGCACAATGCCTTATGTGAGAGCAAGGCTCTTTCTCCCATTTCTTCTCATGACTCTTCCCTCCCCCAGTCTTTTAATCTTTCCACTTTCCTTGGTTAGAATGTTCTGTGGCCACTTAGGTCATATTGCCAAACTTAGCATTTCTAACTACATTGTAAAACAGGAATTATGGCACATGACTTTGCCAAGCTGTATTAAGAATAATTGAGTGCATGTCTTCAGGTGTTAGAGAAAGTAGACACAGGTATAGAACTGAATGAGCCTTTCAAAAATGAAGACGTTCTTATTTTACAGGAATAAATGATGGTGCTGCAGCTGTGGTTCTTATGAAGAAGTCAGAGGCTGCTAATCGAGGGCTCACACCGTTAGCACAGATAGTTTCCTGGTCACAAGTAGGTGTGGAGCCTTCCATTATGGGGACAGGACCGATTCCAGCAATAAAGCAAGCTGTGAGTTTAATTCTGAATGTTAGCACCTGTTCTGTTGGTAGAACGAACCTCTTCGGGACCAGACCAACACCCTGTAATTCCCTTTTCAGTTTCGCCTTCTTAAACCTTGGCTCAGATCCTCTCCACTCCAAAATGCCAAGGTTGAGCTTTTGTTTATCCCTGTCAGGTTTCATTTGCTTTGTTTCTCTTGTACGAGTCTTCCCATTGGCCTTCAATGAGCGTGTTCATTTAGTTTTCTCTCTCTAGTCTCCTTCCCTGCCAAAAACAGCCGAGAACATCTGGATCATAACACTTCTTAGTGGAACCGATGCGTCACCTAGATCGTCTCACCTACGCTTAACATGTTACTGCTTCAAAACTTTTTAAAATCCAGGCGGATGTTTTATCCACAGTCTTAGAATTGGTATCACTAGGTTCATGTGGGAACCCTTAAGAGATCCTTTAATATCACAGTCTGTTGTTCTGCTATCTACAAGAAAGATTCCACCTGGGTTTTTAGACCTCTGTTCCATTCATCTTTCCCTTAGGTTGCAAAAGCAGGTTGGTCCCTGGAGGATGTGGACATATTTGAGATCAACGAAGCGTTTGCAGCCCTCTCTGTTGCAATAACTAAAGAACTGGGATTAAAACCGGAGAAGGTAAGCCCGAGCAGGCAGTCGCCAGGACAGCAGGCGGGTGAATATTTGCAATGCAAATTTGATTGTAGACCGCAAAACCCAGGTACAGAGCCCCACAGCGTGGCAGGTACTGGCCGTCTTGTTAACTGGGCGCACACTGGGAAGCTCTGGCTGGGATCAGGAGTTATTTTATTGCTTCCCAGGGTGAAACCCCTGGACTCTATTCACTTTTGACACAGAGCATTATGACTCTTCTAAACTAGTAAGGTAGGGTGGATGTCACATGGGTATAAAGTTCCTAAGCAGTTAAAATAAAAGTGGAATTTGAAAGGAGAGTTTACTGGTGTAACGTTAAAAGGGAAAAGATAATTTAGGATTTTTACCCTATATCCAGAGAATAAATGGTATGTATCTTTTCCCTCTTAGGTCAACATTCAAGGAGGGGCTATAGCCTTGGGCCACCCTCTTGGAGCATCTGGCTGTCGGATTCTCGTTACCCTGTTACACACGATGGAGCGGAAGGGTGGACACCGTGGTGTTGCTGCCCTGTGCATCGGGGGTGGGATGGGCATAGCAATGTGTGTTCAAAGAGGATGAAATTGCTTAACAATTAATCATGCCTAAACTCAATTGGAACCTAATCTCTTTTTAAACTAATAAGGTACTAAGTTACAGTATGTGAAATCACAGGACCAAAGTGAGGATGGAAACCATCTTTCATAAAAAGCCAAGGCTTGACAGCTTGTTATTTTTTAATGTGTAATACTCGAGGAACAAGAGAAGTGCATCCAACCATTGTTTTAAATAAAAGAGAAAGCAGATCAGTCATCAAGGGCCC